TCTAACTTTGCTAATGTTTATTGATTCCAGGTTTTTAGTGGTGGTCCATTACCTGTCGGTTCAGAAAACTCTGTATGTTCACGCAAGAGACTTGCATTGGGATTGAATTTTCCGAGTTCTAGTGAAAAGATTTGCAATTGGCAGAAATCCGAGTTGATTCTCCTGGAGGCAGTTACATCTGAAATTATGAGTTAAATTTTATTCTTCAGAATCATTCCTACTACGGTAAACAGAGGTTGAACATACTAAAATCTCTTTTGTTAAACAATTAGTCTTTTTGATAAATTTTGATAGATCAATGATGAGAAGACGTAATTGATTTGAAAAATAGTGTGATATATTTGCGCTGTACATTGTTCGAACAATCTAGTCACACAAATAAGTACACTTGTCAAGGCATTTTATATGAAGAATAACCAAAGGTCACTTATAAATAAAAGTTCAAATAGACATAAGGTGATAATTGTAAATGAAGGAGAGAGAGAATTAGCGTGATATGCAAAAAATAAGATGGGTAGGAAAATTGTCACATAGTGGTGTGTGCTACTTATACGAACGATATAAGTAGTATAAGAATGGACGTGAAAGAAGAACTCTCACGGTCACAAGAGGAAAACGGAAAGCAAATGGAGCAAAAGCAAGAAGTAAATGGAGTACTAACAGGAAGGGAAGGAAGCAACAGAAGGAATGGTAGAAGGATGGAGCGTTGGAAGTCACGACTCAAAGATGGTGTGCAAATAGAGTGTATTCAATGTAATGTTTTCGTTTTTAATTGACTAAGAGTGTAAATTTGCCTGCCTCAGTCTTCTCAACATTACCCTGGGCTTAAACGTTACCATGGTAAGTTCAAAGCCATAACGTACTGTTTTTGTACACATGTCATGGGTGTTTCAATTTACAAATAATCAAGACTTCCATTAACCTCAAAATTCGTCCTTCCACATTTCTGTACAATGTTTTGAAGGCTGTCTCTTGCTGCGTTTCATACAAATTCCATTGTTTTCTAACTTTTCCTTTCTTGATCTTCGCCCATCTTCTGCTGCCAGACATAACGTTGACACTCACGTCATATACTACTTATAATTAGCTCGCACCACACTCGTCCCCCCTTTTAATAAGCTGTCGTCGTACTCTTTCTGATTGCCGTAACGTTGTCATCTTTGGTGCTTTTAGTGACTCATACACTTGGTAATCTTGAAATCATCTCTGCAGCTGACTAGCAGTTACGCGCTTCTTCTTGTCTTCTCTCCGTAAGCCCGTTTATCTGAGGATGATACGGTGTAGTGCGTATCCTCTTGACGCCAAACGGCTTCAGAAGGGCTTTAAACTCGTCACTTTCAAAACAGGGACCCTGGTCAGTTAATATCACCTTCCGTATTCCGTGACGCGCTACAATATGCTGGATTACTACTTCGGTCATTGTTCTTGCCCGCTGTTCTGGAATGGGTACGGCATCTATCCAACGTGTAGCCTTTAATAGTTCCCGCTGCTGGGACACGGCGGCAGGCACACTCTCGAAAAATTGCGACGCCAACAACTGTGCCTCCGACTCCCCATCCATACTCGGCAGCGTACGGCGCAGCAACATCGTGAGATCCACAGCCAGCATCAGCGAGGCACCATCAGCCGACAGCCTCGCCAACCGGAACCTCTGCGGCACCTCCTCCCTTTCCACCGGGCTGTCGAACTCCGTCTTCAGCCGCCCGGTGACAGTCTCCCACGCCGTCTCCCCGGCGGCACCGCCCAGGCTGTCATATACCGCCTTCGCCCCACCTCCCCGCAGCGTCCGCAGCACCGCCAACTCCGCCCCAGGCCCCTTCACACCCACCAGCTTTACCGCGGCCTCAAACTCCTCCAGGAAGCTCCGCAAATCTCCGTCTTCCAACCTTTTCCCACGTTTATGGGGTCATCTGATGTTAACTGATTTTGAAGTTAATTAGATGCCTGTTCCATAACCCATGATTTCAAAGTTTGATTACTCCTGCCTACGTGTGTGTGTGAACCCACAAACGTGTAAATTGATAAATGCAACGGGATGAGGTGTAATTGTTCGAGCAATGTCTAGCTCGGCCTATGTGGAATTATGGGCTTAGTCTTTTCAATGATAATCAGTTTAGCAGCGTAGTATGCTTTCTCTATGACTGCTTTTAGTCTCTGTCTTGAAATTAAACCATTTTAATTCACATCTAAATGATAAATACTTTCCTTTTCAACAGAATAAAAGACAAGCTTTTGTCTCAACTGATTTCTACACCTATTGATGGAATTTAGAGGATAGCCATTTGAAATCAATGTTTCAGTCGAGGATTTCGCATCGTCTCCAAATGTATCCATGGTGCGAATTCTTTGTGCTCTATTATAAAAGCAATTTTACCAAAACTCGCTTGTGTGTTGCAATGAACACAACGTAAGTCAAGTTAGAAACATTCGATAACATTAACCACTGCAGATTGGAGTTGACCTTGACTTGCTTTTCAAAATCACTCACTGAACATACTATTTAAAATTTTGAATTCGTCGCGAAATTCAACAGCATTCAAACAAATCATGTGATTTATATTAAAGATGTCGTCCTGTAGTGAAGAAGAACACAGGTGGGGCAACCGAATTGTATTTAACGAAAATTACAGAGTTACTCAGTAAAATTGGAAAACCATATCGTAAATCGTTCATTTGCAAAATATCAGTCCATCATATCGAACTAGAGGACTGTTCCTGTGGCAAAACATCAATCCATTTTCACTATTCATTCGTTTTATACAAATTGCATTGTGTTCTTCTAACTCTTCCTTTCTTGATCTTCCCTCATCTTCTGCTATCAGACATTACGTTGACACTCACGTCATATACTATTTATAAGTAGCTCGCGCCACAATTATTGCGATTATTGATTGAAATTCAAATGAACGTCAACATTTCATCCAATAATAATAATAATAATAATAATAACAGTCAGAATCCAACTAATCAGAAAATATATAACGTTTTTTAACAAAAAGAAATTGGTTAAGTTGTAAAATTTCGAATTTTACAAAGTTAAATTATAATCTGACTTAAATTAGAAGCATCACTGAAAAATTGCATAAAAGATAGTATCAACAGCATCAATCATTTCAGTAGTTAAAATTATTTGAAGAAAATTTTTTCAAAGCAGAATTTTTTTTCGGTGAGCCAATGAGAAGCGATCAAGTGAGAAGTGGACGGCCTCTCCAGCTTCGTTTACGTGAACATCAATTAGCAGTCAAACGCCACGACAACTCTTCGCTTATATCAATACATACCGACAATTATGGACATACATTTGATTGGAACAATGTGGAAATACTGGATAAGGGGAGGGCAAAGAACACTAGGGAAGTTTTAGAAGCTTGGTCAATCAGGTCAATCAGCAATCAATAAACACATCGACACTGACCCAATTTATCAGCCAATCAGGAAAATCATAGGCGACATAGGATCAAGAAACAGATCAAAATGGGGATGCAATCAAAACAAAGGTGCGAACAACGACAGGTTTAAGGTCAACAGCAACCAATCAAGATCGAAGTTAGCAGAACAAGCTACAGGTCAATTGTGGAGAAATTCGAATGCTTCACTTCTGCTATCTGAAGTTTGTGCAGATGATGATGTTGTTCAGAAGAAGAACAATGAAAGCTCCACAACCAAAACAACCAGCTGAGAGAACGTAACACCACCACGAGAAGGTCATTTTCTATGACCTTCAATCAATGTCCTAAAGGAAGAAGACATATCAACATTGGTTGGGAAATGGATTCATTTTTTAAGGAAGCAACATATATAAATATATATATATATACATATGTAGTGAACGAGAACACAGGTGGGGCAACCGAATTGTGTTTAACGAAAATTACAGAGTTACTCAGTAACATTGGAAAACCATATCGTAAATCGTTCATTTGCAAAATAACAGTTCATCATATCGAACTAGACTGTTCCTGTTGCAAAACATCAATCCATTGTCACTATTCATGCGTTTCATACAAATTCCATTGTGTTCTTCTAACTCTTCTTTTCTTGATCTTCCCCCATCTTCTGCTATCAGACATTAGGTTGACACTCACGTCATATACTACTTATAAGTAGCTCGCACCACACATATACATAATATTTAATAGCCAAATTAACTTTCTCTTCCGTTCTAGCCTCCATGCTCAGGGAGGCAGAGTATACGACATTCAGATCGTGAATATCATACCCTATCAGAAAATGTCTTATATATATATATATATATACATATACCTTAACGCTCAAAATACATTCATTTACTTAATCAACTGTACCCTGTCTATTCATGGAAATCGAATACACTGGAAAGTTTGTATTATCAGTAAATAAATGTATCTTCTATATAAATATTTGTATTAAACACCGAAAATAATAAATGAAGAAATCGAGTAATTCAAATATTTACCTATTTGTGAATAAATAAATACACACTCACTTACTCAAACTTACACACACACACCCGAACGAACGAACGAACGAACGAGCAGGTCTCCTGTGTGAAGAAGGTGTTTCATACTGTGTGAGCTTGATGTTTGTTCATTTGTTGTGAAGTCTTTTCTCTCATCAACACAACCTCATCATCATCATCATCATCGTCATCAGCTACATAGTTTCTCCATCATCTGAAACGTCTATACCCCTATGTTTATATATAAATATTTATATATACACACTCACAGAGGAATGTCAATCAACATTTTTGTAGACTTTTGGTTATTACTGTATTTCTCTCACTCTCTCTTTCTCTCTCTGTCTGTCTGTCGAATTTGTTATCTCACAATGTGAATTTATTCGTTTTTTCCCTGAATTTTATTGACATTAGATTCAAATTACAAAATAAACAATGTTGCTATTGTATTGTTTTACTATTTTTTGAAAAAAAATTACGAAACTAAACTAAACTAAACAAATATCCTTTAAAATATACATATATAAGTGTTTTTCAATGAAACAACATTTCTTGATCATTTATTAAATCAGACTAAAAACAAACACATTCATTCAATTTTCAAAATAAGATAAAATAAAACAAAAGTAGAAATCATGAAACTGTGTTTTTACCATCTAATTGACAATACATTTCATCTTGTATTATACTCATTATTATTGAGTATAATTTTACAAAATGTTTCAGGTAGATTAATTTTCGGCATTGTTTTATTGATGATAATTGATAATATTGATGAACACTGTGCATAATTGATAACATTGAACATTGAATAATGTACTTTTTAAGTAGATGTTGTTTTTTCTATTTCATTTCAGCAATTAGCGTTAATTTGTATTGATTGATTCACTAACTAATTAATTACTAATATACCTCATACCCCTTTTTTTAAATTGAAGTACAGTGGTGTGAACATAATTCCTCAGTGAATTTGTCCGTAGGCATTCCTTTCTAGATCATTGTGGAACAATATAATTGAATGGAACTCACCACTCTACATCAACTTCATCGACTACGAGAAAGCATTCGATAGCGTTGATAGGAAAACACTGTGAAGGCTTCTTCGACACTACGGTGTGCCTGAGAAAATAGTTAAAATCATACGGAATTCTTATGATGGATTCAACTGCAAAATCGTACACGATGAACAGCTAACAGACTCTTTCGAGGTAAAGACAGGTGTCAGGCAAAGTTGATTACTCTCACCCTTTTCTCTTTCTCGTAGTGATTGACTTGATTATGAAGAGGTTGACATCCGGAAGGAAGCACGGTATCAACTGGACAGTTAGGACGCAGCTGGACGATCTGCACTTTGCAGATGACCTGGCTGTTCTTTCGCACACGCAACAACAAATGCAACAAGAGAAGACGACCAGTGTAACTAACAGTAGCCTCAGCAGAAGTAGGTCTCAACATACATAAAAGGGAAAGCAAGATTCTCCGATACAGCATAACATGCACCAACCAAAGCACACTTGATGGAGATGCCTTGTAGGATATTAACACCTTTACATATCTGGGCAGCATTATCGACAACCGAGGTGGATCCGATTTAGATGTGAGGGCGCGGATTGGCAAAGCAAGGGCTGCATTTCTACAGTTGGAAAATATCTGGAACTCCAAACAACTTTCAACCAACACCAAAATCAGGATTTCCAATACAAATGTCATGACTGTTCTACTGTATGGAGCATAAACTTGGAGAAACACGAAATTCATCATCCAGAAGATACTAGCGTTTATTAACAGTTGTCTACGCAAAATACTTCAGATTCGTTGACCAGACACTATCAGCAATAACGTACTATGGGAGAGAACAAACCAGTTTCCAGTGGAGGAGGAAATCAGGAAGAAGCGGTGGAACTGGATAGAATACACACTGTGGAAAGCACCTAACTGCGTCACAAGACAAGCCCTCACATGGAACCCTGAAGGTGAAAGGAAAAAAGGAAGGCCAAGGAACACATTAAGATGAGAAAAAGAGAAAGATATGAGAGGAATGAACAAACATTGGACAGAACTAGAAAGAGAAGCTCAGGACAGAGTTGGTAGGAGAAAACTGGTGGGCGGCCTATGCTCCATTGGGGGTAACAGGCATAAGTAAGCAAGTAAGTAAGTAAGTAATGCCTTGTGATGTATATATGTAGTTTGGAGATTTCTACAATACATCTTCATTTGGAATCTGATTCGTGCACTAAATCACCGTAGAATGTTGTTGACAGTTATCTGTCCAATTGATCTTCAGTATCTTGTTATGAAACATCCACTGTCTTGTACTCAAAGTTCCCTATGCATACTATAGAAAGAAAGTATTTTGAAGTTTGCATTGAAAATGATGATCTTAGTAGTAGCATGACAGTTGTGTTTTGAATTGTAAAAAACAAACACTGTCCTTACTTTGTTAAGCTATTCTCTTTACATTGTCAATATTCGCTACACCTTGTTTTTTTTCTGAATCTTATGACTGTGCGAAATGCATTTTTAGCTTTTATTGATGATTTCAAGTGCTGATTTTTTTTCCCTAAACAGGTTCAGGCTTATTTGATGATATAGTTAGTAAGTGATATATTTCTTATGTTCTCCATGTATAAATCGTTTGATTACAACTTGTAGTGTTTTTGATTTAAACATGATATGTGGTGCTAACCGTAGCAAACTGATTATTTTTTGAGAAAGAAGGCAAGATGGCTACCGATTAATGTAAACATTCAATCCGTTTTGTTTTGAACAATAATATCGGCATTAGTATATAAGAACAATTCGGATGATGGTTATCTAACGACCTTATTCGGTCAGTTCTGGTCGACTGACTAACATCAAAAATTACATCAGTATAAACAATCCAGGAGAATTGTCAATTAATTATCAAGTTGTACGTTGTAAATGATACTTACAAACTGTGAAGGAGTTTATTCCCATTTATTAGTTTAAGCAAACTGATTAATTTCATACGTAAAGACATTGAAGTTGTTGTGTGTGTGTGTGTGTGATCTGCGAGTTGGATAGATTAATTCTGAGGAATTCATTTTTTCATTTGAACAATGTCAACAAAGTATACCCTTCATAAGCCATAAGCTTCATAAGTTCAGAGATTATAACAACTTCATGATTTTTACACTGAACAATGACTATTTTTGATCAGACAGTCAGTTAGTTCATTAGTTACAATGTACAACTTGGTACGTACGTACATCATTTCGAGTTGTCATATTATATTAGCACATATAGATGGAATGGTCAATTCAAAACGCATAGTGAGTGGCAGCAATGGAGGTGATCTGTGTTGCGGACGTTAGATCCACAAGGACTCACTTGGAAAAGATCCTTATTTTTTGGATATTTTTATGTTTACGTGCATAGCATAAGTTGCTTAGTTGACCTTTAGCTCACAATTCCTACTCGTAAAATCCTTGTCAGTCATAGGTTAATGGGTTTTTGTAGTACGCTATTTTTGTGGCTCTCTGTCATGTATAAATAAACTCGATTTGTGTGCTTATCAAGCTTGTATATTCTGGGTGCTTGTAGAATACACTTTCTACGTCTTATCAAGACTTGTTAATCTAGTTAGCCAGTATGGGGGCAAGCGGATTAGAATAGCTAATCGTGTTACTGCATCATTTGTCTGCACACCGTTTACCGAGTAAGGTGAACTGACGTCAGTCAGTTCAAGCATATCAGTTGACAATCGAAGATATGATTTGACAGATTTATCCCATTGGAATCAATTTTTAAAAAGAGAAAGGTGATGATCAATTCAGAGGATTAGAATTTCAGAGAAGACAAACTATGGATGCATCGATGGCATTACAAAGGATTCTGAATCATGTCATTCAAAATCTCTAACTATCGGTTACTATTCTCTTGAGCAAATCGACCTACTAACATGGGTCAGTCGTCCACTTTTCACTGACTTTTATCGATTTGGAAATCATTCTCACAAGAAAATTAATTACTTTTAAAGACAAAGTGTTGGATGTACCTGACACTCTTGAACTTGAATACATCATCACCTACTTCAAACTTTATAGGATTGTTCACAAAGCTATTGTGTCCAGATAGGTCGTTGACATGTGAAATTTGGATGAAGTTTAATACATTTGTATTGATATTTTGAATACTACTATTGACAGTCTCAGATTAAGCCTAAACTCTAGAATGTAAGTAATATTTAGCTACAGACAAGTCCCAAATAGAATGAAACATTCATCCTACCTTGCACTACTTGTCACTTATCCTCCATCTGTGTTTGTATCCTTATGACCGACTATCCAAGCATGAATGTAAGCTAAATTTTATTGTACTCTGAAGAAACTCTCTAATCGTTTAAAGTTCATTCATACTGGATAATAGTTTTCAGCTTGAACTAATTTCCATTTTTTATTATTTTCAATAGTTAATTTTCAGTTTTACCTTTTTTTTTAATCAGTAAAATTTCAATCTGAAACAAATTGAAAATCAACACTGTATTCATTGTTTCAATGTCACTTAAAGACAAGTTGAATTGTATGGAGTAATTTTTCTGATTTCATTTCAGCGCCAAGACCCAGACCGAAAACAAGTAAATCAATAATTATTGATATTTTCATAGGAAATATAAAGAGTTTAATGTAATGACTTATGAGTTTATTGAATAAATATTACTAAATTGAAGTGACAGCATGATCATATTAGTTATAAACTAGCTGCAAATTGAAAAAATCTCTTATTCAAAACATATTTGTTCTTGAGAGTTCTCAAAATGTCAGTTATCTCAGCTGTAAATTACATCCTATTTTCAACAATATTTACTGTATTTTTGGGCAGAGTTTTGGAGGTTTGTGTTTTTACACATTTGAAATCATCAACCAATCATTTTTTGACCAGTATTAGAAACCTGGAAGCACTGAACGTGACCAATGGAGTTCAACCCGGTTGGGTGTACTCAGTAACAACTAACAAAGACAAATGGGTGAGGTCGCGTAAAATGCCTAGATCAATCAGAGTTAGACATTAACACCGTTGGATGCCGGCCAGTTCAGTGGTCCGATGGTTAAGCGTTCGCGCACAATACAGAAGGTCCCGGGTTCGAATCTTGAGAGGAGCAGGAGTCGTGGATGCGCACTGCCACTGATGAGTCCCATACCAGGACGAAACGGCTGTCCAGTGATTCAGTGGTCTAACAATGATTGATTGATGATTTCAAATGTGTAAAAATATTCACTGTTTCGATATCGCCTCGATTTCTCTCAAAGAATAAATAACATTCATGAAAGTGAGAAACTAGCAATGAATAGGCAAGCCTATTTAGATGAATTGATCGTCAATGGAAGTTACAAAATTTTTTAAACAATCACTGTAGAATAATGATGAGTGAGTAATTCAAGTTTAATCAGTTGATCGAACAGAGCAGGTAATCGATGTAAAGTGGTTCAGTGGTCCGATTGTTAGGCGTTCGCGCACAATACCGAAGTTCCTGGGTTCGAATCCTGCGAGGAGCAGGAGTCGTGGATGCGCACTACCACTGATGAGTCCCATACACCAGGACGAAACGGCCGTCTTTCAGTGCTTCCAGGTTTCTAACAATCGATGCAAAGTATTGATTTATTTTTTTTTCAGTAGTTTGTCGCTTACAACAACAGGAGGATTATTTGGATTTACTCATAGTTATATACTACTTATTTGAATAAGATATATATACATATATATTTTTTTCATTTTTCTAGCACCTAGGAATTCTGCAGGTCAGTAATCGATGATAGATAAAACCATCTGATTTCTTTGCTTGTATTTGTTTCACTGAATAAGTACGTGTAGATAGATTAGTTGAACATGAAGAGATTGTTAAGTAGGATGGATTTGTGTTCGACTGACTGATGTTCTTTTGGAACGATTAGACAGATAGATAGATAGAAAGATATACTGTTACGATTAGAGTATGTTGTTATCAAAATAACTGTTTTGACAGTTTACATCACAGGTTGAAGCTGATTTAGACAATGTTTGGAAACAGTCCCCATAATTGAATAATTATCTTTGGGCTCTAAAGATCATTGGTCTCTGTTAGGATATTCATAAAATATCCTAAGAGAATTATTGGTCATTTAGTATTGGTTAATTCCTAGTGGTCAATTTTATGGTTGTCCTAGATATCAAAGTCCCATGCTCCAATGTTGTTTCTTATTGGTTTTCCTGACTATCAATGTCACTTCAAATGATGTTTCCTATTGGAAGTCCTAACTGTCAATGTCACAGACTTCGATGCTGTTTCCTATTCGACCAAAATGTATAAATATGCATTATCTGTAACGTTTTATGACCAGGGCCAGGACCCGGTCCCGGATCCCTAGTCCGTGATCCTGATTCTCTTCTGGACATGGACCTCGTACTTTCTCAATGCTTGTAGAACACAGGTTCTACTTCATATCAAGTCTTCTTATTTTTTCCGCAATATAGAGGTTGGTATAATCGGATTTGAGTAGCATATCATGCCGCCGGATCCTCGCTCTCGTTTTCCCAATAGGTAAACTCACAATAGTTCAAGTGTATCAAGTTGACGTGTTCACGGGCAGGCGTAACAGTCTCATTTTCAATTGAGCCATGAAGGTATACAGTTATGGAGTTCTATACTACGACAAATAGCTCTGCAGTGTTTCAAATTGCTTCAACAAAACTTCAATAAAACACATCATAAGAAAATACCTTATGTTTAATGATGACTTTTGAAATATGATTATCAAAACACAGATTTTTATCATGAAAAACAGTTACACATGTAAACTATTGGATACAAGCGTACTGATTTTGAAATCACACTTTTAGGAGCGAAACTGGCAGTCTTGAGTTCCGTTTACTTTTAGTGTGTAGGGTATGTGATTCTTTATTAATTGTGCTGAACTAATACGACAGCGGCTTTCAACAAAGGGAAAAGCTGGGTTTTCAGATACAATACAGCAAGCACCAACAAAATCATACTCGATAAAGATGCCTTGGACAGGATCATTGATGAGCTGTGTGTATCTGATGCAGAAATGAAGCCGCGAATCGGTAAAGCAAGGACAGCATTTCTATTATTGAACGATATCTGGAACTCCGAATAACTTTCAACCAAAACCAAAATCAGAATTTTCAATACAAATATCAAGACAGTTCTACTACATGGAGCGGAAACTTGGAGAACTACCAAAGCCCAAAGCCATCACCCACAAGATGCAAGTCTTCGTTGACAGTTAGTTGTCTACACAAAATATTTCGGATACGTTGTCCAAACACTATCAACAAACAACCTAATGTAGGAAAGGATTAACCAGGTTCCAGCGGAGGAAGTGAATAGGACACACATTGAAGAAAGCATTCAACTGCGTCACTAAACATGCCATTCACTAGAAATTATCAACGTCAAAGAAAATGTGGAACGCCAAGGAATACACATTACTCTGAGAAATGCAAACTGACATGAGAAGAATTTAACAAAAAATGGACAGAACCAGAAAAGGAGGTCTGCACACTCAATCATATTTGCAATTAAGTAGTAGTAGTAATAGTAGTATATATATATAACTCAAAAATTTCTATAACTGATTATTACTACTTATAAGTTAAAATTTGTTTTGATTCCCTAATTTTTTTTCTTTCAGGTTCCTTGACTACACCATGGATTACATTGATATCAAGTATTGTAACTATTGTGAAAATTCGAAATTCCTTCACAACATGGAATAAATTCTGATGAAAATAAGTTGGAAAAAACAAATGAGAATTATTAGACTGTTGAACTATTTCTATGAACCAGTTGTTTATTGTTAACTTCATTAGATTATCTAATGATTATAACGATTATAAATTTTGAATTAATCCATTTCAAAAAAAAGGTATCCAGAATGATTAAACACACTAATTATAAGTTCAATGTTCAATATTATTGATAAATTGAATTGAATTCAAACAACTGAAAATAAAATTATTGGATTCAATGGATGTGTTATTTTTTTTTATTGTTATTGTGTAAAAATTGAATGAATAGTTAGAATGTGACTTATATTGTTAAATCTATTGAAACATTGAGTCAGTCAGTCAGTCAGATGCAACGTAGAACTTCGTACGTAAGTACGTACATCAGTTCATGTCGCCATACCACATCAGCACACACAGATGTAATTATCAATTCAAATCCAATAGTAGTAGATGTAGTAAAGGTATTAGAAGTAATCGGAGAGGTTAGGATTAGAAGATATTATTCAAGAAGTATGATTCAATGAGAAAAGTTTAGAAAGTCAAAACTACAGGTGTTGAAGAATCCAGAAGATTAGGATTCGGGAGAGCACAAAGAATAAATGCACCTGCGCCATTGCAAACGATTTTGAGCCACGTCATTCAAGGTCTCTAGCCATCGATTATTGTCATCTCGTGGACCCCAACCAGGTAGTCGACAATTACCGACATGGCTAAGTCCACTCGTCGTCAATGACTTCATGGATTTCTGCCATGTTTTGGTCTGACCGCCCCTAACTTTCTTCCAACCTATTCCTACACTACAAAACAAAGCTCGTCGAGGCAGTCGGTGGTCATGCATACGCAACACATGTCCCAACCCAACATTGAACAACACAATCGAGATCCAAGTGAACTTGATTGTCAGTGAAAAATAGCCATTTGTCTAATAAACGATTCTTTTATGAATAAACACCTGAAGTGGTAGGTGAGATGTTTAATGGGGGGTTAACGCATATGATTGATTAGCTGGAAAGAAAGTAATTTACTATAACACTGACATTAAGAAAAATTACAGTGTATGACAGCTGTATCTAATATAGTCAACAACAAATTATCGAGAATCAAGCATAAACTAAGAGCGATGAATATAGAACTTGTTGCATTCAAACAAAAATTCAAGGGATGTATAAAACAGCATTATTAGACTATAATTAGAAACCCACAAGCACTGGACAACAAGCGGGACTTTAATCCAGGACTTCCGGTGTCGTACGCGAACGCTTAACGTCTAGACCACTGAGCCGGTATCCAATGATGTTAATTCTGAACATTAGTCAATTCACCACCTTGCCTGATCACCATTCATTGTTTTTGTTAAGTGACTGACTCACACGCGACGCCAATGAACTTCACTGGTCACGTCTTCTCCGAGAATTTTCTCAAGAAGCTAGTCACTAGTAAGCAAAAATTATGATTTTCATTATAGGGTTGTTGAGTTCCATTAAAATCTTGAACCGATCATTATTAGAGGTCAGGTATTCGAGCGCGCGACCTCAGAGTCTTGAGTTGTGTTTCTGCTCACAGGGTCGTCGTTGAACATTACTAACCAGTCCCATACGAAATGGCCGTCCAGTGCTTCGAGGTTTCTAATGTTCATCAAAAGTTTATTAATCAATGATTACAATGTTTACTGAATACAAGTAAGTAGTTTAAGTCAATACACAAAAAAACATGTCAATCGCGTTGCCATCATTGTATAAATAAGCTCGATTTGTGTGCTTTGCAACCTCATATTTTCTCGGTGTTTGTAGAATTCACTTCCTACACCTTATCAAGACTTCTTGACATATTTAGCCTGGGTCAACACGGATTAGAATAGCCTACCGTGTCACTGCATCATTTATCTACGCTCCGTTAACTGAGTAAGGAGAATTCATAATAGTTTCAAGCATTATCAATTGACGAGCACATCAACCTAGCGTTTCAGTTAAATCAACCATAAAACAAGCACTATCTTATTCATTTTATGCTTCTCCTTGTATTTTGTAAAACAACATTAATTCATGATGAGAACTTTGTTCAGATTGAACTAATTTTCGCAATCTGTCTAATTAAACGTTGATTAAAAATAGTCAACAGTGACTTATTCCTAGAGAAATTCCAGTGGGAAGTGTAACCATGTTGTAAACTAGACGGGTACTATCCATTTGCAAGTATTCGGTCATTAAATGAAAAGTGAATAATTTCATGTTTATCTACCTCAAAAACCACTGGTTGAATCCTGTTGCAGTATGATAACTAGTCTGACCAATCTGATATTGCTTGTGGATTATCGACTGTCTTCTAGACCCTAGAACCGCGCCATACATCCGGATCCAATACTATTTACTTCAGTATGAATTTCCGGACACTGCCACATACTACTTATAAGACACGTTGCGAATAGTATCCACCAGACTGGCACTCATATTAACAAGGCATAACTACAATTTTGAGGAAACTGTTGCTCCCTAGTGGTTTTCGAATGCATACCACTCAGTTTTACACTCTTTGATGTCTTCACTAAGATATTTGGACATGACTATTAACCACAATATCAAATGAAAGTTTAACTGATATCACGAATTTCCTCGCCAGCGGCGGTCAAACCAAAACATGGCACAAATCCATAAAGTCACTGACAAGTGGATTGTTGGTGGATACAGACTACCTGGTTGGGGTTCGCGAGACGGTAGTAACCGATGGTTAGCGATCTTGAACGACATAGCTCAAATGCATTCACTCTGTGTTCTCTGAAATTCTAATTTTCTGAATTTCTTATCACCTCTACCTTTCTCCTTCTAAACTTATCTTACTGAATTATATACTTCGTAAATAATACCTTCCTCATTACCAGTAATACTTCTACTATCTCTACCACTATGAGATTTGAACTGACAGTTGCGTCTCCGTGCTAAAGCGGTATAGCATCCTGAACTAATGTACTTACACATACGAAGTTCAACGTCGTAACTGACGAATTTACTCGAGTTAAAAATGTAGATCATTGAATTCCAACTTAATAATCTAAAATTAACATGATAGTAAAGAATCCTGCGTCTATATTCTCCATAACTATTTCAGTAATGCACTATTTAAGAATGTGAAACTAGAATGAAACAACTGTTTAGTGCTCTCTTCGATTCTTCAAACGAACAGTAGTAATATACTACTAGATTAGGTTAACAGTAGTACATACTTGAAACTAAACAAAATGTTTTTACTTAAGGCTAACAAATTTTTCATTTAAGAGTTGTGAAGATTGTTTGTTGCCTTTCATTGAAATCATGAATTCACCATTAGAAGCCCAGAAGCACTGAACAGCAGTGAGGCATTCAAGACCTCCGCTCGCCGGACTCGAACTCAGGATGATCGGTATGGCATGCGAACACTTCACGTCTAAACCACTGAGCTGCATCCAATACTGCTATAATATTCAACTTTTATCAATCCATGGTATTGCGCAACCTTCACTCATTGTCTTCATTAGTTAACTGCCTACATTCGATATGGGGGTTGACCTCCATTAGTCATGGTGTCGTGCCGCTGATGAATTTCATACTAGGACGAAACACTCGTCCATCGGTTTCAGGTTGCTAATAGTAGTGATCTAACAATGATCGATCGATCGATGCATGCAATCAAAAACACAAAAAACTCCACAATTCCTAAAAAGGGAACTTCCAACAAGCATCGATTGTAGCATAGAGTGAGAAAGAGAGAGAGAGAGAGGGAGTCATTGAACCATTTATTACAAGGAAAAATGAAAATGGCATCAATTTACTTCTTTTCTTTTATTTCGCAACAACAACAACATCAACAACAAACTCAATTTTACACACACAGACACACGGGAAAAACACGTCTAATCATTATGAACATGCTCTGTCATCTCATTCATGCCATTCGTATAAGTAGTAGTAGTAGTTGTAGCTGGAGGAGATGACGCACAGGAATTGTACATTGTACAAGATGAACTATGATGTAATAATGGGTCATCCATCATCACCACTGCTTGGTCATTTGTTATCATGAATGAAGAATGTCTACTAGAATTGGTCAATTCCAAATTGACAATTTGTCCAGTTTTAACCTTTTCAATGGGCGCGAAAACAGAAACAAACAAATAAACAAAGGAGTCAGTTAATCAACTGCTTGACATTGATTATTGACAGTGAAAAATTTAAAAAAAAAGATGAATAGAGTAAGTGAACTAGACCAATGAATTCATTGTCAGTCAGTCAGTCAGATGCAACGCGGAACTTCGTACGTAAGTACATCAGTTCAGGGTGCCATATCACATTAGCACAGAGACGCAAATGTCAAATCGAATCCCATAGTGATAAAGATAGTAGAGGTATTAATGGTAATGAAGAAGACTAGGGTTTGAAGATATTATTCAAGAAGTATAATTCAGTGAGTGAGATAAGGTTAGAAAGACAAAGGTAGGGGTGTCGATGAATCCGGAAGATTAGGATTTGAGGGAGCACAGCGAATGGATGGATGCCCTTGTGCCATTGCAAACGATTTTCGGCCGTGTCGTTCAAGGTCTCTAACCATCGATTATTATCATCTTGCGGACCCCAACCAGGTAGTTGACAATTACCGACATGACTCAGTCCACTTGTCGGTGACTTCATGGACCAATTCATTGACTATTCATCTAATCTTGTTGGGGATGTTAGATCTCCAGAAATCGCTTGATAAATGCCTTAATTTTGAATTTCGCGTTTGCGAGGATGGACTGAATCAGGTGACCTTGAGATTTCATTTCACACCAGTGTACTGCTGTGTATTTTAGTGTACTATTTTCTTAACTGTTTCAAGGACGTTTCTATGATGTATAAATAAACAAGAGTTGTGTGCTTGATTGTATTGTGTGATTGCTGGGTGTTTGTAGAATATACTTTCTACGCTTCTTACAAAGACTTCTGTTTTGCAGTTTTTGGATTCAACATAGCCTATCTGGACGCTTGGTTCATTGTCTCGTTCGAGTTTATCAACTGACTGACTAAGGTGAACTTGGTAATAGCTTTAAGCATACCTAGTGACGAACATAACAAATCTGTATTAAATGATTCCACTTAATGGATTAATATTTTCGATACCTAATCTTTTCCACTACCGATAATACTACTATCTCTACTTCTAGTACTTAGAGATTTTAAATTGTAGCATGGCAATTTTACACTAGTGTAGCAACTGCAACTAGGGTAAGAATGTTAAATTAATTGATAAAATAATAGTGAAGTGGTTGGGAAGGCCAAATCAAAACATGGCACAAGTGAACCGAGTCTGATCGGTGTAGACTATCTAAAGTTAGGGCTGGCGAGATAATCGTAGTCGGTGGTTAGAAGAGACTTTGAATGTTATCGTTGAAAAATGTTTACAGTGGCTTAAGTGCATCCATTGTTTATCTTTCTCTTTCCAAATTTATTTCACTGGGATATATGCCTCTTGAATCCTTGAACCGTAATCTTCTTGATTACTATCTCTCTGTGTTAATGTAGTATGGTAACTTGAAATGATGTGCATAAGTACGAAGTTCCGCATTGTAGCTAACTGACTGACATAGACTGTAAAGTTTGGGTATTTTACGTGATAAATACAATCAGTGACTAAAAAAAAACACTGATCATTCTTCACAACCCTATATATATTACATAGAAATGGTTAATTGGTCATTTAAAAAAAAAATAATCAACAGAAATACTAACTGCTAGAATCACGTTTTGTATGGACAGAAAAATCATCATCATAGAATTTTAATTGACTGATGTTATATTTGTGCAGTTATTGAAATGATGATCAAATTCCTGTTGCACAGCGAATTGTTGACCAATATCAAGTGACAAATACTATAAAACACCAATCAGAATTACTCTCACGCTTTCTCTTTCTCCTGGTGATCGACTGGATTATGAAGACGTCGACATCTGGAGGGAAGCACGGTATCAACTAGACAGTTAGGACGCAGCTGGACGATCTGGACTTTGCAGATGACCTGGATCTTCTATCACCCACGCAACAATAAATACAACAGAAGACAACCAGTGTAGCAGCAGCCTCTGCAGCAGTAGGTCTCAACATACATAAAGGAAAAAGCAAAATTCTCCGATGCAACACAACATGCACCAACCAAATCACTCTTGATGGAGATGCCTTGGAGGACGTTAACACCTTTACATATCTGGGCAGCACCATCGACGAGAAAGGTGGATCCGATGTATTGAAAATCCTGATTTTGTTTGAAAGTTGTTTGGAGTTGCAGATATATTTTTCAACTGTAGAAATGCAGCCCTTGCTTTGCCGATTCGCGCCCTCACATCCGCATCGGATCCACCTTTCTCGTCGATGATGCTGTTGATTACGCTTAGTTATTTCTAAATCATAGGTTAAATTTTATTTAGGACACCTTGTCTAGTTCAGCATTACAGTTAAATAGTGAACAATATGAATTTACCGCTATTGTAAGTTGATTACTAAACTCATGAATAAATCATTTTTAGATCATTAACAGAAACCCGAAAGCAACATTGGACAGCCGTTTCGTCCTGATATGCGACTCATCAGTGACAGTGCGCATCCACAAGTCCACAGAGAGGAATAAAAACCTAGAACCTTCTGAACCTTGCACAAGAACGCCTCATCTTTGGACCACTGAACTAACGGCATGAAGTCCATGGTAATTTGTAACTCCGATCAATTTAGGGATTTTCGCCAACGAGACTGTTGTCGTTGCCTTTCTGTGCCTTCAAGTTTCTCACATAATGGTCTAACAATGATTGGTTGATGATTTTTTAGTAACAAGCATGCATTTTCATCATCACTCTATGATGCCAAATAAAAAATTGTAATTTTAAATCTGGACTAACAGTTAGGGCGTTCGCGCACGATACCGAAGGTCCTGGGTTCGAATCCTGCGGGGTGCAGGAGTCGTGGATGCGCACTGACACTGCTGAGGAGTCCCGGACCAGGACGAAACGGCCGTCTTTCAGTGCTTCCAGGTTTCTGTTTCTAATGGTGGTCTAGCACTGATTGATTCATGGTTTCAACAGTGTGTAACTTGACAATCTTCACAACCCCGTAATAAAAAGAAACAAACAACATAAGAAATACAAATTCTTTTTCTTTTCTTACTTTCTCTTACCTTTTTATAATCAACCATCATTTCTTTGAATGCAAGAAAATCGGAAAATGTATACAACATGTCAAACACTTCGCCGTCTAAACAATCATTATTGGAACTAAATAATAATAATAATAATAATAATAATAATAATAATAATAATAATAATTATAAAATAAGAAATCGGTGGGTAAAAAAACAACCAAACACACACACACAAAGTCAAAGGAGACATTACCTACTTACTTACGCCTGTTACCCCACCACAACGGAGCATAGGCCGCCCACCAGTTTTCTCCAACCAACTCTGTCCTGGGTTTCCCTCTCGAATTCTGTTCAATGTTTGTTCATTCCTCTCATATCTTTCTCTATTTCTCGGTGTAATGTGTTCCTTGGCCTTCCTCTTTTCCTTTTGCCTTCAGGGTTCCATATAAGGGCTTGTCTCGTGACGCAGTTAGGTGCTTTTCGTAGTGTGTGTCCTATCCACTTCCACCGTTTCTTCCTCATTTCCTCCTTCACTGGAATATCGTTTGTTCGCTCCCATAATACGTTGTTGCTGATGGTGTCTGGCCAACGAATCCAAAGTATTTTGCGTAGACAACTGTTGTTAATGAATACCTTGCATCTTCTGGATGATAGCTTAAGTAGTTTTCTCCAACTTTTCGTTTCATACAGTAGAACTGTCTTGACATTTGTATTGAAAATCCTGATTTTGGTTTTGGTTGAAAGTTGTTTTGAGTTCCAGATATTTTTCAACTGTAGAAATTCAGCCCTTGCTTTGCCAATCCGTGCCCTCACATCTGCATCCGATCCACCTTTCTCGTCAAGGATGCTGCCCAGATATATAAAGGTGTTAACGTTTTCCATGGCATCTCCATCAAGAGTGATTTGGTTGGTGCATGTTGCGTTGCATCGGAGAATTTCGCTTTTTCCTTTATGTATGTTGAAACCTACTGGTGCAGAGGCTGTTGCTAAACTGGTTGTCTTCTCTTGCATTTGTTGTTGAGTGTGCGATAGAAGAGCCAGGTCATCTGCGAAGTCCAGATCGTCCAGCTGCGTCCTAACTGTCCAGTTGATACCGTGCTTCCCTCCAGATGTCGATGTCTTCATAATCCAGCCGATCACCAGGAGAAAGAGAAAGGGTGAGAGTAAGCAACCTTACCTGACACCGGTCTTCGCCTTGAAAGAGTCTGTTAGCTGTCCATCGTGTACGATTTTGCAGTTGAATCCATCATAAGAATTCCGTATGATGTTAACTATTTTCTCAGGCACACCATAGTGTCGAAGAAGCCTCGACAGTGTTTTCCTATCCACGCTATCGAATAATTTCTCGTAGTCAATGAAGTTGATGTAGAGTGGTGAGTTCCATTCAATTTACTGTTCCACAATGATCCGTAATGTAGCAATTTGGTCAGTACACGATCGATCCTTACGAAATCCGGCCTGTTGATCTCGAAGTTCGACGTCTACAAAGTCCTTCATTCTGTTTAACAATACCCTGTTGAAGACTTTGCCTGGTATTGAAAGAAGAGTGGTGCCCCTGTAGTTCTCACACAGTTGCTGAGATCGCCTTTCTTTGGTATTTTGATCAGGTATCCTTCTTTCCAATCTGATGGTACTTGTTCCTTATCCCAAATCTTCTTGAATAGGATGTGAAATATTTTCGCAGTTACTTCTACATCTGCTTTCATTGCCTACTTACTTATACAATAGAAAGATTATATCACAATGACATTTGAATTTCAATGAATAATAGATTTCATTTAATAACAATATTGTATCAACAACTTACACTAAACTATCTATAAATGAACGCATTGAAAAATGAGGTATTCTTTCACATAATTGTTCTTCTAGCAATCGTTCAACTGTATTAATCTAACCATTGAAAATAAGACAGAAAAAAACACGTGATTAATATTCTCAATAGTTATTGGTTTATCAATTTTCAATGAATAAAATAATATAAATTTATAAGGAAATAATAACAATGATTTGATATAACAGTTTAAACACTAGAATCGATCAAAGTTACACATTAATTAACATTGTTAGATAGATACCGACTGAGTGATGGATGATCTAACCGGTTAGATATATAAATATATATATTCGCGCACAAAACAGAACAAAAGTTCAAGGGTTCATTCAACAAAACCTGTAAGGTGTAGGAGAGTTGTGGATACGCTCACTGTCCTATATCAAGTTGGAATATGGAATAATAATGACCATATCCAGTGCTTTCAAGTTTCCTAATGTTTGTGATTGATGATTTCAAATGTGTAAAAAAAAAACCTCGAAAACTGTGCCCCAAAATTTCGTACAATGTGCTCACTAGTGACTAGCTTCTTGGTGAGGAAATTCTCGGGAGTTCTAGTTGAGAAGAAGACGTGACCAATGGAGGAGTTTAACCCTGTCTGGTATGTGTAGGCAGTAACTACTACCAAAGATAAATGGGTGAGGTCGCGCAAAATCCCTAGATCACAATCAGAGTTAGACATTAACACCGTTGGATATCAGCCGGCCAGTTCAGTGGTCCGATGGTAAGGCATTCGACTATAATGCCAAAGGTCCCGGGTTCAAATCCTGCGAGGAGCAGGAGTCGTGGATGCGCACTGCTACTGATGAGTCCCATACCAGGACGAAACGGCCGTTCAGTGAGTGCTTCCAGGTTTCTTCTAATGGTGCTCTGTCTAACAATGATTAATTGATGATTTCGAATGTGTGAGAAATCGCAAACCTCCAAAACTGTGCCCCAAAATGTTTGTGTTGTTGTAGGTCTAACATTGGATCGATTCATAGTGAGTGACAAAGAAAGGGATAAGTAGAAAAAACATAAAACAACAATTTTTTTTTCATTTATTTACATATTTCTCATGAATTTCTGTATAAGAAAATTTATTCTCTTCATTTTCATCGAATTCATTGTAATTCTCATTCATAAATTTATCTTGAATAGTTAGAAAATGATCACCTTGATTAAGGTTTGAATATGAGAGAAAGTAGAGGAAAGAAGAAACGGTTACAAACGTACAAATGTACATATATATATATATATATATCACTTAAACAATAAAATAGGTTGAAGAATCAATCATCTCATTGATTGATTGAGAATGCAATACGTCGGTCTATTATTGGGCATATGAGCATCCCCGGTGCAGATTGTTTCGATCTTGTTAACAATTTACAAGCATTATTAGTAGAGGTGAATAATAGTGATTAACAATAGGGGTTTCGTCTTATTCGAGACTAACCAGGTAGAAGTACCGTGTATCTCGGAGTTGATGATCACTTGAGGATTGGAACACTGTACCGTTTGCTTTAAACGTTATCTATCCATTTAGCTATTGAATTCAGACAACTACTCATTGGTGTAACAATGTATTGGGTTTGAGTCACGGGATGAATATCAACTCTGGAATGCGACTATATCTAACTGAGGACGGAACACGCATTGTGGATTCCACTGCTAGCCACTATTCAAGTCCGACAGTAACACAAACTTAAGTAGTAAAAACTTTCTTACAGTAAACCATGAACTTCATTGATCTGTTACACATAAACATAAACATAAATTTTTTAGCTTTAATCGTTCTTATGATAATTACTGTTCACAGTTCAATACAGGCCTTATTGATGTTGACACTGTTAAAGAGAACCTTAGAAATCAGGCAGATTGTTTGCTTTGCAAAAAAAAAATCACGGAATGGTGTTTTAGTTGAAAAAACCTAGAGTATATTGAACAAAAGTTCCATCCTTGTATTAAACTTCTTGATAGTGTGCATCTATGATTCAAATACAAAAGGAATTGAGCGATAATTTTTCACTGCCTGAGAATATGATAACTCTCTTACAGCTGACATGAATGAATTCCACTAGTCACAATGTCTACTAGAAGTGTTCGAAGAACTATTTCTGGAAGTTAGTCATTAGTACTCATACGATTGTCATTAATACAAAGACCTTAATTAGACAACCATTAAAAACTAGGAAGCACTAGACTACTACTACTGTAGTGACGAAGCTTACTGTCAGACTTAAAAAGTCCTGAGTTCGATCTCCAACAGTGTGAGTGTGTACTGTTGAAAATTCTTACAGTAGGACAGTACAAATAGCTCTGTCTAGTGCTTCGTGATTACAAATGGTAATTTAATTAAAATTCATCTTACTCATCATTATCTCTTCTAAATGTCCAACTACAATATCCACATACGATGTTGTTGGCTCTTGGAATCTGTCCTAATAATGATAACTCTAAAATAAAAAAGGCAAACCTAACAAATGATTCTTCAGGTAATTCATCATATTCATCTTCGATTTGTGTGTCTGAAGAATAAACAAACAGGTGTAAAACATTTGAGCAATAAATAGTAATAATGAAAATATTATCATCGCGTCTTTACTGGGGGAACAAGGATGAATTGTCAAGCTTCTAGTAAAATGTTATAAAAATGATGGCGGCGTTCAATCATGTCAACAGTGAAATATTCTCTGGTTATTATGAATTGATTATTGTTAGACCACTATTTAGTGAACGTTTGGTCCTAGTATAGGACAATACATTAGCGGCAGTAAACATCTACAACTTCAGCTAGTGGAAAATCGAAGTCTCTAGGTAGTCAATCAGTTACAATGTAGAACACTGTACGTACGGACAATAGTTCATGTTGTCATACTACATTAGCACACAAAGACGCAATTGTCAATTCAAATCTCATTGTGGTAGAGACAGTATAGGAATTACTGCTAATGCAGAACATTAGGATTGGAGGATAATATTAAACAAGTAGAATTCAGTGAGATAGGTTTAGAAAGACAAAGTTAGAGGTGTTGAAAAATCCAGAAGCTTAGAATTTCATAGAACACTAAGAGTGGATGCACCTGCGTCATTGCAAACGATTATGAGCCATGTCGTTCACGGTCTCTAACGATTGGTAACTTTCCTCTTGCAGACCCCAACCAGGTAGCCTACATCTACCAACATGACTCAGTCCACTCATCAGTGATTTTATGGATTTCTGCCATGTTTTGGTCCGTCTGCCTACTCATACACCACAAAACACAGATCGTCGAGGTAGTCGGTGGTTGTGCATTCGTAACACATGCCCCAGTAACCTCAACTGATGAAGTTTCAATACTTTATCTATTGATCTACCATCCTTACCAAGCACCCGTTTCCTAACGACAGCATTGCTTACTCGATTGTACCAGGATATACAAGCAATGCTTCGAAGGCATCTATAATCGAATACCAATTACCTATAAATATCCTCACTTACCGGCCATGTTTCACGGCCCGACGGTTGATCTATGGTAAGTGCCTTAGAAAACAGAGAGAATCAGTCAGAGTTAAAGTTATATTTTGTGTCCTTTGTAAACAATATGATATACTCTCATTTGAACTTGAAAACATTTATCTGCACTCACCTTAAAAGCTAAAATAATCTATTACTCAGAAAACCTCTTTCACAGTTGTAATTTAACTCAAAAACAAACTATATACACACAAAACACTTTCGATTTCAGTAAATACAACTTATGTGTTGCACATATAGTAAACCGAATTTTGACCAAACGCTATTTTTCAGTAAGTTTATTATAAACTGAGATGTTTTAATGAGATTAGTTCACAGTTTAACTGTTGATAGTATTTACACACTTCTAGGATTTTTCAGTGCGCCAACAAACACGAAAATATGAACATATATTCTGGATGTAATCGTGATGAGTACTAAGGGTAAGTCAATACAAGTAAACGAAAATGCGGTAAACAAGTAAAATCCACGAGAAACAAAGAGGGGATTCGTTGTGAGGATTGGGTATACGTTTAGGACGTTAAGCTATCTTTTCATACTCTGAGAAAACACTGAGACTGTCGAAAACGATATCTTATAACTGATGCTTTATGTTATACCTGAAACCGATGCCACGCACTCTAACACAGACATTATTGTGGGATAGCATAATTTTGGCTGAAATATCTCCGATGCTCACAACAATTCACCCAGGGGAACCTTACGTAAGAAGTTCTACTTTCTAGCTGACTGAATGATATTGTAACTATTTCATCTGCATTCAATCAGGTAAATAAATGCTTCTGAACCTACACCAGACTACGTATTTGCATCCAATACATTGAAAAGAGGATAGATAGGGCAGCAAAATGTTGAAATGAGCCAATATTTTGTTGGAACTAATAAGCTTAGTTATTATATGTACGTAAGCTTACGTGTTTTTAGGTTATGGTTGATATAGATGGATATTTATTGCTAACAACTCTTCATGTAAAGATTGTCAATGAATTGTTCCATTAGTGATCAAAAGTTTGATTTATGTCGAGTACGCAGATAAATTGGTTGACCTGGGGAAGCAGGTGAACTTTCCAAGTATACTAATTCATTACGTTTTGAGAAAAGTTGGCTATTTTAAGTTTTTATATTGTGGAAATGGGTGTAGCTCGGGGTAAGTTTAGGTGGCAAGTAAACAATTTTGTAGCAACTTGAGAGGGAAGGATATATCGCCTAAAACGTGAAATGTGATCAATCATTCTTGTAGCTCATGCTGACTTTGAAAAACGGCTGGTTGATCTAGCTAATTAATGATGAATGTCTTATCCAGAGAAAATAATTATACAATGGAATAACGTGGATCTTGAAACACGAACATTCAAGATGAACGTAATTTTTATCCAGAACTTCGTCAAGTCCTAATATTTTCTCAAGGAAACCGGGATATGACGATATTTTTATGCGTCTTTAGTTGAATGTAGAACAAAATTTCAAGTAAAAATCCATCTTGATATACTGTGAGCTATCACGGTATTTTTCAAAAAGACATACTAAGCTATATGCTGGTCTGAATTTTTATAGACTTTTAAAGCTTCCCGGAACTAATGTGCAAATTATGATGGAAAGAAAACTAAAATCAATAGAAACCCATCAATTTGATTAAAATAGTAATGAGAATAACGTGAAAAACTCTTACTAACCGCCTGACTCCATGGACACTGAAGAACAAGTCTATCGTAGTGTATTAAAACAAGAACAGGTTTCAAACGAATAAACAATTTTTGACGTACTCCTGTAGAATTAAAATAAAGGTGTTCTCGCTTATTTTCTTTTCTGAAAATGTGTGTCAGTATTACGAATTCTTGGAATCATATTAATATATTCTCAGCCTGTACCAGCCAAGATATAATATTTTTTCAAGAGCTTTTATAAACCAGTTGATTGCTTTATTGTTCTTTCAGTACGGTTCCAGGGATTCGGTTGCAGCCAATGTATAGCATGATATTCTCTCGACAGCACTAACTCTATTCATTTAGAAGTTATGAATTTTTATGTTCTGTGATTATGGTAAGTGCGTTTGGTTGAACGTCAAAATGAAACTGAAACTAAAGAAGCACTGGACAACGGGACAGACGACATCACAGAAGTTTAATACGGCCTTTCTTCGGGATACTGCAAAGCTCAGCGAATTCAAGATAGCCCTCACCAATAGGTTCCAGGCCTTTCAGGATCTACTCGTTGGAGAGGACACAACATTGGAGAACATTTGGAAAGGGATCAAGGAGGCAATTACTTCAACATGTCACGAAGTTCTGGGTCACAAGAAGTACCATCATAAGGAATGGATCTCTGTTGGTACTCTTTAGAAAATTGGAGAAAGGAGGAACAGGAAGACAGTGGTCAGCGTCAGCCGAACAAGAGCAAAGAAAGTTAAGGCACAAGTTGCATACACAGAAGCAAACACGGAAGTGAAGAAGAGCATCAGAGCTGACAAACGAAAATATGTGGAAGATCTAGCAATGACGGCGGAAAAGGCTGCAAGAGAACGAAACTTGAGACAATTGTATGAAACAACAAAGAAGCTCGCCGTAAACTATCGTAAACCAGAACGTCCAGTGAAAAGCAAGGAAGGCAAAGTAATCAGTAACACTGAAGAACAGCGAAATAAGTGGTTAGAGCACTTAAAGTGACTCTTGAATCAAACAGCTCCACTGAACACACCCACCATCGAAGCAGCATCCACGGACCTCCCAATCGGTGTTGGCGCACCTACAATTGAGGAGATCAGTATGGCCATCAGACAAATCAAGGTCAGCTGACAAACTCGTTCGAGGTGAAGACCGGTGTCAGGCAAGGTTGCTTACTCTCACCCTTTCTCTTTCTCCTGGTCATCGACTGGATTACGAAGACGTCGACGTCTGGAGGGAAGCACGGTATCAACTGGACAGTTAGGACACAGCTGGACGATCTGGACTTCGCAGATGACTTGGCTCTTCTATCGCTCACGCAACAACAAATGCAGGAGAAGACGACCAGTGTAGCAGCAGCCTCTACAACAGTAGGTCTCAACATACATAAAGGCAAGAACAAAATTCTCCGATGCCACACAACATGCGCCAACCAAATCGCTCTTGATGGAGATACCTTGGAAAACGTTAACACCTTTACATATCTGGACAGCATCATCGACAACCATGATGGATCGGATGCAGATGTGAGGGCGCGGATTGGTAAAGCAAGGGCTGAATTTCTAAAGTTGAAAAATATCTGGAACTCCAAACAACTTTCGACCAAAACCAAAATAAGGATTTTCAATACAAATGTCAAAACAGTTCTACTGTATGGAGTGGATACTTGGAGAACTACGAAAGCCATCATCCAGAAGATGCAAGGTATTCATTAACAATTGTCCATGCAGAATACTTCGTATTCGTTGGCCAGACACCATTAGCAACAACGAACTGTGGGAGAGAACAAACCAGATTCCAGTGGAGGAGGAAATCAGGAAGGAGCGATGAAATTGGATAGGGACACACTGTGAAGAGTGCCGAGCTGCATCACAGGACAAGAACTCACTTGGATCCCTCAAGGTGAAAGGAAAAGTGGAAGGCCAAGGAACACATTACACCGAGAAATAGAGAAAGATATGAGGGGAATGAACAAACATTGGACAGAACTGGAGACAGAAGCCCAGGACAGAAAAATGGTGGGCGTCCTATGCTCCATTGGGAGTAACATGTGGAGAATAAAAAGGAGAAAATTATATTGCTAATGGGAATAACGTTTCAGAACTGAGTCAATAAATTTAATAAGTCAGATATTAAAAGTAAGCAGTTCGCTTCGCGCGGCGTAGAATTTCCATGTGGTTTAATTTTGACTAGTAAAGTTTAAACCCGTTGTTTACTGCCCATTCCATTATTGCTGTAAGGTTCTTTGGGGGATCACTTGCAAATTTTTCACTTGTTACAGACATCTAGATCCACCGCCTGCATAGATTTGTACTGCTGAGTTAATTTTTATTTAACTGGTCACTAACGGACATCAGGAAGAAAGGGGAACTTAAGACGGTCTCTTGTAGAACTCCTGATGTTGAGACTCGCATTCTATTTCCCTTGGTACGAAACTTTCTGAACTGAAGGTAGTTTATGATCCAGGACAGAATTAGATCAGTGTAGTCTATTTCGGCAACCCTCAGAATTAGTTCTTTGGGTGCTGTGTTGATGGCTTTTGCAAAGCCAAAGAATATTATGTGAACAGGTATTTTTGGTCTCAGCAGCTTGTCTTATCTGTTTCATGCTATGAGCTTCATAGAGGATACTGTTCATATCTATGAACCCCTGTATTTGCTCATTAACCATATCGAATTTGAAATCCGAGGCGGTGAACTTTGAATCTGGACTGAAAGGGTGCAATTTCAGAACTATGCACAAGCATTCTTTCAGAATTAGAAATACATTGTGTTAAACTGTGTTACAGAACATTGTAATATTGTTTAGGTAATCATTTATATTAAGTAAATAATAATAGAACCGTTTCTTACCCAGACAGATAGCTGGGAAAGTCGCGTATCTAACTTCTTCCACTGTTCTGACGAATTCGGAAACCACTTGAAAACCCCAACAGTTCTGAACAATATTTGAAGAAGGTGAATCCTTCGGTTTTCCCGGTCTTTGTCAATAAGTGAAGACAGAAACAGTGAAGTCTAAATTCTGATCATTATTGGTAGATTGGAGTTTAAACCCTATGCTTTATCATTACTTTGGAGTTTCTTTTTAAGAATTTCAATTATTACAATAAATTCTCGTAAGGAGGAGTCAAGTTCAAGACTGGTGGGAAGCCATGAAGGCAAACAGAAATACGAATCCTTTGTTACAAACCAAGTGCCTCATGGCTTTTTAATTTAAGGGGTTCACTCTCAGATAGGGAAGTTTATTCGGGGAAACTAGGGTAGCCATGAAATGTCGGTCTATCGTCTATAAAAGGGCTAAAGAAATCCCAATAAGGCTATTCGGGCAATTCCAGGTTATAGCTAGAGAAACGTTGAAAGATCTGTTTCATCCTGGGAACGTTGATTATAATGAAACTGAGCAGAAACTTAGGTATAATAATGCAGAATTGAGCCAAGATGTTGGAACAAATCTAATTGCACCACTGATTTAAATCGCTTAACAACTTTGGAATGAATAGTGAAGCTTTTACCTCACCGCGTGCAAGTTCAGTGTGCAGAGCTAGCAGTTAGATAGAGTGATGAGGATAGGGAGCCCACATTTGCTGAACTCACAGAGTTTATATCGTCCCGTGCAAGGATAGCCAGGACGTTATACAAAGGTGAATAGTCGTCTGCGATCGTGATATAAGAATTCTTCGAATGTTTTTTGGACGTACATCACGCCTGGAACTTAGAAAGGTTGTTAATTGTATTAGTATAGTACAAACTCCTGAAGTCCGAATATGTAAGCCTTACAAAGTAGAGCTTGTTGACGTCTACCCTAGTGAGAAGTCAGTATCTGTAGGGGATAAGGAGGCTTTTTGGAGGTTAGCGAAGCAAGAAAAAAGCGGAGGGCTTAGCATTAAGAAGGATCCGAGAAATATGAATTTGACTCGTTTGCCAAGGAATGGCAATTTGGATTCGAGCCAGCAGAGGATGATGGGTATCGTGAATATAAATAAAGATAAAGCAGGTTTGACTATATGGGACGCTGCTTGTGTTCGGAACTCTTCATGTAGGGCAAATTATCTGCCACGACCTAGAGTTGGTCCTAGGATAGCAAGCGTAAACAGTGACACAGCACCTCTTGTTGCTGCGCGATCAGGATGTCGGCGGACTACTGTATCTAGTTCTACTGAGCATCATAGTAGTGAAGCGAAAGTTAATAGCATCTTGGCACATCCTGATGATGTTTTTTCGGTGTCAGGTGATAAACAGTCGCATAGTAGTCCAAGTGGTCATGGAAATATTGATTGTGTTAGTGTTAGTGGCAGCAGTGTTAGCTTACCCTTAAAGCCCGCATGCCAACTATCTCACAGTTCGTCAATAACTGCGGAGATTGAAAATATCACTGTGGACAATAAGAACGATGGGAATGACGCGAGACCTCATCTGTCTATTGTGATGGTAACGAAAGTGGAATCACCTCAAGTGATGCGATTTCCTCAATTGCGGCTACTAGTGTAGTTTTACTGAGTACTTCAGTTCATGACAAGATTGGTTGTTTGAGCGTGGAAAATGTAGGCGTCAGCCACAGTAGTGGCATTACTGAGAAGGCTAACATTCAGTGTTCTGGATGCAATGAGGAGTCATCTAGGTTTCGCGGACATGCTGTTGTGTTGAATAGTCAGTACGAGGAATCGAGCATAAAATTGTCCACTTGTCGCACTCCCCCACAATTGAATTGTTCCACAAGTTTAGGGATGAGCACTATCAGCAGTGATAAGACAGATGTGAATGACATTCCTAGTAAGGGAAGTAATGTTCCTCGAGTTAAGTTGGATATTACTTATAAGTTGAATGGATGTTCCGGAAAGAGTACTACTATTTCTACTGCTACGGCTACCGAAGATAATAATATTGATAATAGTCCTGCGGGTAATAGTGATCTAGGGACATCGAAAGATACTCGTGGACATCGCAGCGGTCGTACTCTACGTTTACACACTTCTGCCAAAAGTGAGAAACAGCGGAAACGAAATGTGGATGATGCTTCTCCGATCAAGAAGG